TTGGGAGGCCTTGCCTTTACATGCACATGAGCTTTAATGGCATCCCAGTTTAGTCCGTAGGGTTCAGTATTGAGTTGTCCCACCCTTTGCAGCTAAAACAGCTTCAACTCTTCTGGGTAGGCTGTCCACAAGGTTTAGTAGTGTGTCTATGTGAATATTTGACCATTCTTCCAGAAGCACATTTGTGAGGTCTGCCACTGATATCGGACTAGAAGGCCTGGCTCACAGTCTCTGCTCTAATTCACCCAAAGGTGTTCTATTGGGTTGTGGTCAGGACTCTGTGCAAGCTAGTCAAGTTTCTCGACACCAAACTCGCTCATCCATGTCTTTATGGACCTTGTTTTGTGCACTGGTACGCAATCATGTTGGAATAGCAAGGGGCCATCCCCAAACTGTTTCACACAAAGTTGGAAGCATGAAATTGTCCAAAATGTCTTGGTATGCTGACTCCTTAAGAGTTCCCTTCACTGGAACTAAGGGGCCAAGACCAACCCCTGAAAAACAACCCCACGCTAGAATCCCTACTCCACCAAACCTTACACTGGGCACAATGCAGTCAGGCAAGTACCGTTCTCCTGGCAACCAGCAAACCCAGACACGTCCATCGTATTGCCAGACAGAGAAGCGTGATTCGTCACTCCAGAGAACATGTCTCCACTGCTCTAGAGTCCATTGGCGGGTGTGCTTTACACCACTGTATCTGACACTTTGCATTGCACTTGGTGATGTAAGGCTTGGATGCAGCTGCTCGGCCATGGAAACCCATTCTATGAACTTCTCTATGCATTGTTGGCCATGGAAACCCACTTCATGAAGCTCTCTACGCACTGTTGTTGCGCTAATCTGAAGGCCACACAGAGTTTGGAGGTCTTTGGCTATTGGCTCTGCAGACAATTGCCAACTTCTGCTCACAGTACTCTTCAGCATGCACTGACCTTACTCTGTCATTTTACATGGCCCACCACTTTGTGGCTGAGTTTCTGTTGTTCCCAGTTGCTTCCACTTTGTTATAATACCACTAACAGTTGATCGTGGAATATTTAGGAGTAAGGAAATTTCACAGGATGGACATATTGCACAGGTGGCAACCTGTCACGGTACCAAGCTTGAATTCACTGAGCTGCTGAGAGCGACCCATTCTTTCATAAATGTTTTTAGAAGCAGTCTGCATGCCTAGGTGCTTGATTTTATACACCTTTGGCCATGGAGGTGATTGGAACACCTGAATCCAATGATTTGGAGGGGTATCCCAATACTTTTGGCAATATAGTGTATATTATTACTACAAACTAAAGCTACCTTGGAGGAGAAATTGGCTTAGTGGTATCAGTGATGTTTATATATAGAGACAAGGAGTGGGTGTATATGCATATTAATAGCAGACTAGAATTCCTGTCTGACAGCTCAAACTAAAGCAAACACCCATCTTATATTATCAACAGGTTTCCGGAGCATTCATGCACAAGGCTAGATTTCCTGCTTTCACACAACTCCTGACCTACACATGCATACGTGTATGTGTTGGGTATTACTGCAGTATACACTGATACAGAATCCTTTGACACACGTGTGTGTGTGTTCATACATGCGGTAACAAGCATTACGATGTGCAGTATATGTGTATTGTCATTTATTATAAATGGCACCTTAACTCACTTATTCACTGTAAAGCAATGCACAGACCATTCACAATACACAGATGTGTATGTACTGTACATTGCAGTGCACTGTTTTAAATAAAAAAAAAGGTCAGATGTGCTTTTTTATGCATTGATGGTTTTTGGGCCCATTGAAAGTGAATGGGTGTTCAATCCATGAAAAATATATGCATAAATGTGGCCAAAGCCCTCATTCACACAATTATTATTATTTATTATTATACAGGTTTTATGTAGCGCCAACAATTTGAGAAGCGCTTTACAATGGCCCGTGTGTTGAAACTCTGCTTCTTCTATGCTCTCAGGCAGCTGTATATATTCCACACTTCCAGGTATATGGACTACCTGTTTCCCCTACCACAGGCAGTGGTTTCTCATCCATCTCTGCATATAAGTAAACTCTTGGATATGTGGTGACCATTGTACAGTTGCAGCCTGTTACTGATTTTCATAGACGGCTGTAAGCAAATGCCTGTTTTTCATAGTGTACAACTCTTTTCACGCATGTGCGTGAGCCCTAAAAGCCTTATTCCAGCCAAAATTGTTTGTATTTTAGTTTTGGATATAGTGGAGTAGGGTTAATCCCTGGTTCACACTGGTGTGACTTGGCATGCGATTTGCGACACTTGGGGGTTGATTTACTAAAACTGGAGAGTGCAAAATCTGGTGCAGCTGTGAATGGTAGCCAGTCAGCTCCTAACTTCAGCTTGTTCACTTAAGCTTTGTCAAAAGAACCTGGAATCTGATTGGTTTCTGTGCAGAGCTTCACCAGATTTTGCACTCTTCAGATTTAGTAAATCAACCCCATAGAGTTGCATGACGTGGCGTGAAGTGAAGACATTCATTTCATTGGTGGCCATTTCAATCAATGTGACTCCAGTGACTTTTAAAAATGTTCCTGCACTACATTGATGTAACTTAGAGTCCCATATACTCTAGTGTCACATGAAAGACACAAGTAAACCACACTGCATAGTTGCACTGGAAATCGCACGACAATGGAGTCGCAGCAGTGAACTGAGGCTTAAACTTGTTTTTTGTTTTTCTGTCTGTAACACCATAGGGAGATTTCCTCTTCCCTACTGTGAATGTGATATCAATAATGCAGACAGCTATAAAAATTTGTTCTACCAAAAATGTGTATTTTGCTTAGTTTTTGCTCCATTAGAGTTGTTTCCCATCACTTCCTGTCTAGAGGCTCCTACCAAAAGTTAAAGCAGACCTTATATAATGCAATGTCAGCTTATTAGGTGCAGGCCCTTCCTCCTGTACATATTGCTTGTATATGCCCCCAAGCGGTTGGAGGTAGTCATGACCAAGACTTGTGGTACCACTCTTATAGGACGCATTATAGTCTTCCAGCCAGTTTGCGAGGCATGGAACCAGCTCCCTCTCATATGCATTTTAAGAGGAGAAGCTCAAGCCCTACTACTCTCTCTTCACATACTCTCTCTTCACATATACAGAGTCCATGGAACCTTTAGATCATAAGGCAAGGCAGACACACACTACTATGGATACTTGAAATTATAACAGTTCAACAGAACATATTCTGCTCCCAGGTTGCTACAGCCTGCTTTCCAAATTAAACGAGAAGGGGTGCTGGGGTGTTTGTGTTTTCAGTAGTAGTGAAAAGCGGTACACAAGCTCTTCCAAGCTGTACAAGTCTATGGCTGAACAGTGAGCCAGAAGTGACCTACACTCTGGAGCCTTGTCACTTCATGAGCTAGACTTGTGTAGAGGACCTTATATGGGGACGCTACCACCACTTTACATTGCATATTAGTATTTCAGTCCGTGTGTGAAGGTTGGAATTGGCTCCCTCTCACTTTTCATTTCAGGAGGAGAAGCTCAAGCCCTCCTACCATTTGTCTTTACATACACAGTCCATGGCAGCTTTAAAATGGTTCTAAAGGCTTAAGATTTTTTACCTTCATGCATTCTATGGAGTGAGACGGAGCCGCGGTTCCGTGTGTGAATGGACTCACGGAGCAGCGGGTGCCCCCATAGCAAGCTGCTTGCTGTGGGGGCACTTGACAGGAAAGAGGGGCCAGGAAATCTTGCGGGGGACCCGAGAAGAGGAGGATCCAGGCTGCTCTGTGCAAAACCACTGCTCACAGCAGGTAAAGTATTGACATATTTTTTATTTTCTCTTTAAAAAAAAAAAAGCCTTTAGAATCACTTTAAATGATAAGGCAAGGCAGACACAAATTACTATGGACAGTTGCAAGGCCTTGCTGTATCGTGGGTCCCAGACTGTGCTCTCTGATGCAGCCCAGAACCGATTACAGCAGCCCAGCTGCTAGGAGAGATGACCCTATAAACCTCTTCCTCAAAACCCTCTGGCACCTGACCACCACCGCTTCGGCCCTGAGCTGGCTGCTCACTATAACTTCATCCTCTTTTTAGTACTATAGGCTGTTCTTTGGCTTAAGGCGGAGCTTCACTCTCCCAATCAACATGGACTATTTGTAATCCTTATGCTCATAGCATTAGTAAATAGATAGGAAAGTGTATCATATTTACTTGTTTCAAACTATTGTTTTTTACATTACTTCAGTTACTTCCTGCTTTCCATGCCTAGGCAAATGACACCATACATCCCAGCAGTCTTCAGGAGGGGAGGGAAAGTTCTCAGCTCAGCCTATGCCTGAGCTAAGAACAGAAAGTAAAGTAAAGGAAGTAAATGATACATGAATGATCTGCCCTTACTCAAGATGGCCACTGCCAGAAATGCCAGGGGGTGTTTTTCAAAATTATTTCTCAGCAAAATAAAGCATGGAGACATGGATGGATGGGGAAGTTTGCTTTGAATATTAAAAATGAAGTAAATAGCATTTTTGGTTTGTGGTGCTCAGATGTAGTGCACTTCAACTTTATTGTGGCCCACTTACATAACTGTGCAACACAGAAAGAAGACAGTATAATGCAAGAGGTACATTATATTCACTTGACTTTCACTTTATAGTACAAACAGTGAAATCATGGCATTTATAACAGTTTAAAAGAACATAGCCTACTCCCAGGATGCTACAGCCTTCTTTCCAAATTAAATGTGCTCGCATGCTGAAGTGCTTATGTTTTCAGTAGTAAATGGTGATACACTAGCTCTTCCATACTGTACAAGTCTATGGCTAAACAGTCCCCCCAAAAGTGGCCTACACTCAGGAGCCTTCTCACTCCACGTGCCTGTTCTCAGCTACTCCCACTAAATGCCCTTGGCATGCCTATTGAAGGTACACTATATTGCCAAAAATGTATTGAGACACCCCTCAAAATCATTGGATTCGGGAGTTTCAATCACCTCCATGGCCACAGGTCTATAAAATCAAGCACCTAGGCATGCAGACTAGTTCTTTAAACATTTGTGAAAGAATTGATTGCTCTCAGGAGCTCAGTAAATTCAAGCGTGGTACCATGATAGGTTGCCACCTGTGCAATAAGTCCATTTGTGAAATTTCCTTGCTACTAAATATTCCATGGTCACCTGGGAACAACATCAACTCAACGAAGTGGTAGGCCACGTAAAATGACAGAGCGGGGTCAGCAAATGCTGAAGCGCACAGTGCACAGAAGTCACCAACTGTCTGTAGAGTCAATAGCTAAAGACCTCCAAACTTCATGTGGCCTTCAGATTAGCACAACAGTGCGTAGAGAGATGAATCACGCTTCTCTCTCTGGCAATCCAATGGACATTGTCTGGGTTTGGCGGTTGCCAGGAGAACGGTACTTGCCTGACAGCATTGTGCCAAGTGTAAAGTTTGGTGGACGGGGAATTCTGGTGTGGGGTCGTTTTTCAGGGGCTGGGCTTGGCCCCTTAGTTCCAGTGAAGGGAACTCTTAAGGCATCAACATACCAAGACATTTTGGACAATTTCATGCTCCCAACTTTGTGGGAACAGTTTAGGGATGGCCCCTTCCTATTCCAACATGACTGCGTACCAGTGCACAAAGCAAGGTCCATAAAGACATGGATGAGCGAGTTTGGGGTGGAGGAACTTGACTGGCCTGCACAGAGTCCTGACCTCAACCCGATGGAATACCTTTGGGATTGATTAGAGTGGAGACTGCGAGCCAGGCCTTCTAGTTCAACATCAGTGCCTGACCTCACAAATGCACTTCTGGAAGAATGGTCAAATATTCCCATAGACACACTTATAAACCTTGTGGACAGCCTTCCCAGAAGAGTTGAAACTGTTATAGCTGCAAAGGGTGGGTCAACTCAATATTGAACCCTATGGACTAAGACTCGGATGCCATTAACGTTCATGTGCGTGTCAAGGCAGGCGTCCCAATATTTTTTGGGCAATGACTAGCCAACCGCACTTGGAGCCTATTGAAAACTGCAGACTGCACATGATGTTGTCCTTTCTCTCTCGCATTCAGGACTCCACTCAAAAGGCATGGCACATGATAAATATCATTACCATACCAAAATGGCTTCCCAAATATAGCGGGATTTCATTGCAAATAGTAGGCGCTGGATTCCCAAAGATGGCTTCTGAAGCCTAGTACAGAGGACAAATCAGTGCTTCACTTTGCTTCCATACTGCATAGAGAATAGCAGAGGTCATGTTTACTGCATTGTGCTCCATAGAGTAACACCTTTTTTTTTTAAAGGGGAGACCCCGTAAGTGCACGCTATACAGCATAGGTCACAATCAAGGAAATAACCAATCAGAACAGCTTTGTGTTTACCGTGAACCAATTACAATGATTACAAGGGTAAACGCTGGCTGCGATTAGCAGCCAGCCCTCTCCTTTCTTTCTGTCTGTGTAAGAGGAAGGAGGATTGTTAAGGCATTTTGTGTTATTCGGAAGACACACTCTGTCCCCATCTCCCAGTTTCTTCCTATGGCCAAATGTCTCTCATCTCCCAAAACAACTTTCACATAGGCATGGTCCACTGTTGTCACCATCAGCAAACCCATTGCATGGATTCCATCAGGAATTGTCATATAGCCAGCCATCACTGGCAGGAGATAAGCAGCAATGAGATATACCAAAAGGATAAAAAAAAGTATAAACAAGTATGTTATTTAACACAGCACTTTAACAAATTAAGTTTAATTCAGTAAGAATTTACATTTATTTTAATAACAAAATTCTGGTTGAAGTTAGGCTTTTAGGGCTTACATGTTCTGTAAGGCAATCATGACACCTGGTGCTGTTGACGTAGATGGATCAATTGTACTACCAGGGGACTGATATTTCAGATAGAGGTTTGCTTCAAGAAACTACAATATACAGAATCTATTGAGTACAGTGATTGCAGGGAGACACTTATGTGACTAAATCCTGAACAAATGTGGCAGCTGGAAAGAACCTTGCTATCCTGCTATATTCAGTGTAACTGAACCACAGTATTCAAAAGGGCCTAAAATTAAATTTCCTCTTTAAGATGATGTAGCTGCAAATGTTCCATACTGTACATTAGGAAGAATATCTCCATTCACATTCTGTATTGTTCTTTTATTCTGAACCTGTAAGGCACCTTTCACACAGGCATGTCAGCAGTGATTACATGGATCAATAACAGACCGCGGTGTTTTTCTACAGGTGGTCAGATGTAAGTCGACATGGATCTACATACAGTCATGGCCAAAAATATTGTCACCCCTGCATTTCTGCCAGATAATGCACCACATCACCGAGAAAATTGTTGCAATTACAAATGTTTAGGCATTCTTGTGTTTATTTCTTTTGTTCGTATTGGTTTGACACAAAAAAGTGGAGAAACAAAGACACATTGCACGCAAAAATCCCAAAATGGACTGGATAAAATTATTGGCACCCTTAACTTAATATTTGGTAGCACACCCCCTTGGAAAAAATAACTAAAAATCAATCGCTTCCTGTAACCATCAATGAGTTTCTTACACCTCTCTACTGCAATTTTGGACCACTCTTCTTTCGCCAGCTGCTCCAGGTCTCTCAGATTGGAAAGGTTCCTTTTCCCAACTGCTGTTTTGAGATCTCTCCACAGGTGCTTTATGGGATTGAGATCTGGACTCATTGCTGGCTAGTTCAGTGCTCTCCAGCGTTTTGTCTGAAAACATTTCTGGGTGCTTTTTGACGTGTGCTTTGGGTCATTGTCCTGCTGTAAGATCTCTGACGGAGACCTAACTTTCTAATACTGGGCTCTACATTGCACCCCAGAATTCTTTTGGTAGTCTTTAGATTTCATAATGCCATGCACACCGTCAAGACATCCAGTGCCTGAAACAGCAAAGCAACCATCATCAGTGAACCTCCACCATGTTTGACTGTAGGGACTGTATTCTTTTCTTTAAAGGCCTTATTGCTTTTTCTGAAAACAGTAGAATGATGGGCTTTACCAAAAAGCTGTCATTTTGTTTCGTCTGCCCACAGCACATTCTCCCAAAAGGATTTTGCCAAACTCCAATCTGGCTTTTTTATGTTTCTGTGTCAGCAGTGTGGTTCTCCTGGGTCTCCTGCCATAGTGTCCTTTTTTTATTCAGTTGGCAACATGTAGTGCAAGCTGACACAATTGTACCCTGTGCCTGAAGGTCAGCTTGAATTTGTCTGGAAGCTGATCGAGGTGCTTTATTACCATTCAGACAATCCTGTTGCAATCTTTGATCAATCTTTCTCTTTCGTTCACATTCAAGGAGATTCACTACAGTGCCATGGCCTGTAAACTTCCTGTGTCCACTGTGCACAACATTGTCAAGAACATTAATATATCTGGAGATAGACTTGTAACCTTGAGATTGTCCATGCTTTTCCACAATTTTGGTTCTCAAATCCTTGGTATGCAATTATTTCTTACAATTTTAAGAAGGTGCCAATCATTTTGTCCAGTCCATTTTTGGAGTTTTGCATGGAATGTGTCAGATATGGCTTTTTGTTTCTCCACTTTTTGGGTCATACCAATACAAATAAAATGATAAACATGAGAATGACTAAACATTTGTAATTGCAACAGTTTTCTGGGTGAAGTGGTGCATTATTTGACAGAAATGCAGGGGTGCCAATATTTTTGGCCATGACTGTATCTCCACCCACATCAAGATCCATCATTAGTCTGAACACAATAAGTATGTGTCCGGGTTTGCTTTTATTGACCTTACTGGATGTGGGTGGAAATAGGTGGATGCGTGTCTGCTTATATCTAGCCACCGATAGGAATAACATGAGTACCCTTGTCCTCCATCACAAGATGAAAAAATCGCAACCAACATTGATGTCACAAATGTGGCATCCATTTCTGTTCTGATCCGATCACTCTAGGATCTCCTCTTGGGACAGAACAGTCGGTGCTTGTGAATTGCGGTGTAATTGTAAGGTTTTATATGGTTTAGTAAAGTCAGCTGCTTTGCACAATGCACATTTTCCCTGATACTGTTTTTTGAGTGGCGGTGTATTGCATTGGAAGGAATCGCATCCTGGCACATGTGAATGGTCAAGTTGGTGACAAGGTACATAGTGGGTTCAACAAAAAAAGTGCAGTGAGAACTATCTAGTAATAGAAGGTCCATCCATTGTGGTGAGTGCAGATCCATGTGGGGGTCACCTGGAGCACCTAGAAGTGGTCAGCTGTTTATCTGTTACTAATGGCACCAGCACCTCTTCACCTATCTTTTGTTTTTTAAGCAGCTAATATTTGAATGGGACTTATTGATACATTTGAAATTAGTTGCATTTTCAGATGTTGTTCATTTATTTATCTTTTTTGCACTTTTACATGTGGCAAACTGTTTAGTGATCTTGATTCACATTTTTGGCAGTGTAGTCTATATACGCAATATAACAATTGTAATTGTTAAATTTGAAAATATTTCTTGTCCCCCAAAAAGTGAAATTTCATATTTTTGGGAGGTCGTGGGTAAATCACTCATTGGCTTCTTACACTAGGACACAACATTTTCTTGTCATGTGAATAAATCAGTAACCAGAGAGAAACTCTGTAAGGGCTCATTCATACTGGCTCGCATGGTAAAACGCAGGATTTTACTTAGCAGGTAGCTGACAGTGTTTGGGGGTTGGAGGGGGTGGTGAGATGCACATTTAAGTGCATCACTCTGTGCTTTTATTTTCTTCTAATTCTTTTTAAATGTCAAAATCGCACATCATTCCTTTCTATCCACTGCAGCTTGACTGAAGTGCATAGAAACAGATGGCATGGAGCCTTCAGGTGAGTTCCAGTACACTGCAGAAAATTCATACAGTATGCATGTTTCTGCACTGCACTGCTTGGCACTTACGGGCTCTGTTGCAGTCTGAACAGGGCACATAGAAATTGTTTTCTGTGTGCTCATTCTAATGTAGGTCTATGCACAAGTATGAATAAGCACTTAGAGGTGGAGCAATGACACTAGTAATGCTGTACTGTACAGAAAGGGCTGAAAATTATTTAAATCTCTAGACTCCTAAGGTCCTGTTCATGCCTGTGCGCTTTTAACCCAGATTTATAATATAATGCTGACGGGTAATTTAAAGTGGAAGTAAAAGCTAGTATAATTTAGGCTAAAAATGTTGCTTCCCCTCCTTACCATCCGGCAGACTGTTCGTAAAAGAGTTCAGTGTATATAACCATTTTATTTATTCTTGTTCAACGTGGTATGAGCAGGGGGAAATCAATGCTTTAAACTTGAATTATACACTGCTCATAAAAATTAAAAGAACACTTTGAACACATCAG